ACCTGTTTATTCGCTTCGCTCGGTGGTCTGGGCTGGGCTGGGCTGTGTGGGGCTGGCAGACACCTCCTAAGGCAGGATCAGCCCTGTCCAAACGAGCCCAAACTCACTGTCCAACCTCTGAGCAAAACTAATCACCAGCCCAGACCTAACACCCTAATCTGCCACAGGTAAAGCAGTCCATCTCATTTGCTGCTGCTTGCCCAATGGGGCTGCAGTTGCTTCCCTCTCACCTGTCTGAGGCTCTATACTGTGGGCCTATAGCTGTGGGGCTAGCTCACAAGCAATTAGCTGCAGTCCCTCCACCTGGCTGCTTATTGCCCTGTAGCTAACCCTTGCTCCACTACCTGCCTCTGACTGCAGGCTCTACTCTGCTGCCCTTTTCTCTCAAAGTAACCAGGTCTTCTGACTCTTGTGCCAGGCCCCTCCACCCAGTCCTTCCTACCCAGTTCCCCTACCACAGGCCACCCAGCAGCACAATGCAGCAAAGTCTGTCTGGCAAGGCTCGTTCTTCAGAAAGCCCCAGTTCTGTTGGTGACCTGCAGGTAATAGCCAAGTCCTTACCTCTCCTTCGAAAGAGCAGCATCTGGCTTGATCAGGAGGATTCGGTACCTGCCACAAACAATCCTGTGAGATGCAAACCCCTGACTCCCTGGGCCAATTCAGTAGCACAGCAAGGAGGGTGGTGGATCTGTGTCCCCCGCCTTCATACTCAGAACAAAGATAATTAATTTCCCTCCCCCATGGCACCAACGCACTTTTGTGCAAACTCTTCAAAGGACGGTCGCCAGGAGAAGCCCTCTCGCCGGATGCGGATGGTCTCGAGCAGCCCATTGTACCTGAGCTGAGGAAGAGCACAGCATGGGTCAGAAACCCACGGGGCCAAGCCCCAGTGGGCTGTGACCAGGTTTGGGTTCCTGCAGAGCCAGCCTGGAGCATCACTCTCCACAATGCAGCATCCCTGGTGTGACAGTGTCCAGCTATTCTGGGTGCATCGCTTTGGAAGAGGTGGGAGGTTGAGAGCCCTCCACGGCCCACCCTCAGGTGAAGCTCGGTTTTCCAGCTGGAGCCTCTCTAGTGGCTGCTCCCAGCCCCAGTTTGTTAGGCCTCTGCCCATCAGACCAAGAGTCCTCAGCCTTCAGATCTGCTGTTTGTCAGGTGCCCTGAGATGGGAACCAGTCACCTCTGAACCTCATGTTGTGTAAAAGGAACAGATGGGACTTCCTGACCCTCCCATGCCAGGGCAGGCTCCAGGCCTGGAAGTGTTATGCTACTTCTCTCTAAACTGTCTTGAACTTCTCCAGTTTCCTCTCAGACGTGGAGTCACCAGACTGGGCTGTGGCCCAGGAATGGCCTCATCAGTGCAGTGCCTGAGGGGACCCTTCACCCTATGCCCAGTGCATCTCACCAGGGCTTAATGCAGCTGCAGCAGCCAAGGCACTGTGCTAGAGGCTTGTGCCCTGCCACTTTCTAGCACCCTCCCCAGGCCCCAGCACAGCTGCTGCTTCCCAATGCAGCCCCTGCACATTCCCCTTGGCTACACAACCCCAATCTTGCTGTATCACTGTGTCCTTCTTTGATGCAATTACCCCAGCCACCCAGCCTTCCCCACATAACCAACCCAACAGGCAACCCACAGCCTTGGCCTGGATGCTGCACCCCCAGGACTTGTGCACCAGGGTACACAATAGGGCATGAGGGGCTACGGGTGTGAACTCGTGCTCAGCAAGGCAGGTCTCCCCTTTCCTGTGCTCAGGGGTCATGAACCCTGGGCTTCACACTTGGAGATTGTCAAGCACTGGAAGCTTGTAGAGAGCTTCCCTGCTCCAACCAGCATCCAATGTCCCTGCTGCCCAGCCAGCTGGTCTCTTCCCCTCCCCACCAGGAGTCTGGCCTGCTCCAGGCCCAATCCCCACTCTGCCCTGCCCTGCCTTGCAGTGAAATGGCCCCACCCTCACCTGCTGCAGCAACACCTGGCTGTCAACCACACCTGGCTCCTTCCGGCTGTTGGGCTTGACACAGCGCACAAAGTGCGGGGTGGCAGAGTACATGCGCTCCATGAGGACAGACAGCGAGTGCTGCAGGGGCAGAGACAGGTCAGCATCACCCCAGGCTGAGGAATGACTACCAACACCTCCCAGATGCCTGGGTCCTCTCAGTGCCACCTCCCTCCTGCAGCGCCCGCTGGCTGCAGCAGTGCCACCTCCCTCCCCACAGTGGTGACCAGGACACCACACAACAGCCTGGGCTTGGAGCTTGGGC